TTTTTTGTAGAGACAAGGTCTCACTATGTTGCCCAGGCTGGTGGAAGAGAAATTTCTACCTATTTTGAGCCACTGTTTGAGTCTCTGTCACATTCAAACAGAATCCTCACTTCTGTTGCCTCTCTATAACAAATATGGGATACTTTCCACACTTCAGTGTAACTGTCCATTTCCTGTTATTTCCCCTGGAAACTCCTCAAGCCAGGGGCTAGATTTCAGTGTTTGCCCAGTGCAGACACATTAGTATTTGCCCAGTGAAACATTTGCTGGAAAAGGTGATTGCATCAAGGATGATGGCAGTGTTTTTGGAGCACTCACCGTGAGCACTCCTGTAATTTGCATGCATTCACTGACTTAATCCTACAAGGAAACCAAGGTGGTAAAGAGGTTTGATGACTTGCCCCAGATCACTGGCTTTTGAGTGAGAGAATTGGGACTGGAGCCCTGGTTGGCCTGGGTCCCCAGCCCATGTGTTCTCCACATCAGCCACTGCTGTCTGCCATGCTCCTGGGAGGACCGGAAGGGTCTGGTTCTGCATGTTCCTTTGCTGAGAACAATAAGAAATAGCAAAGAAATTGCATGTATTACTTTTTTGTATTCCTCTCACTACCAATTTTATTTTGTTCTCTCTCTCTCTGTTTCTCTCTTTCTCCCTCTCTTTCTCTTTTGTCTCCTGAAGTTTTTTAGTGCAAAGTCACCCAATGAAAAAGCCTCTTCGGCCAAGCAGAACTCAGAAAAAAGCTTACGAACACAGAATACTGCAAAAGGTATATTGACTACCAAAAAGGGAAATGTAGGCTTTTGACTTAGCTATTATCTCCAAAACGCTGGTTTCTTGGGTTCGTTTGAACAGAATTTGCTACCCTACTTTATACTTGGGGTGCCAGCCTAGGGCTTGGCACCAAGTAATATTTTATGAAAGGATGTAATTGTCTTTCAGTTCAGTGAGCACTGATTATTTATTTATTTATTTATTTATTTATTTATTTATTTTTGAGACAAAGTCTCACTCTGTCGCCCAGGCTGGAGTGCAGTGGCACAATCTCAGCTCACTGCAGCCTCTGCCTCCCAGGTTCAAGTGATTCTCCTGCCTCAGCCTCCCAAGTAGCTGGGACTACAGGCATGTGGCACCACGCCTGGCTAATTTTTGTATTTTTAGTAGAGACGGGTATTTCACCATGTTGGCCAGGCTGGTCTCAAACTCCTGACCTTGTGATCCTCCCGCCTCGGCCTCTCAAAGAGCTGAGATGAGAGGCGTGAGCCACCTCGCCCGGCCTAAGCACTGATTAAGTTCCACTTTTGTGGTGATGAGGTCAGCACAACGCTAATATCTGTGGGGAAGAGAGGTTGTTGACACTGGAAGAAAATAAATTTAAGACATGATGACTGCTCCTCTCCCCCATCAGAAACCAGTAATTACTAAGGTTAGAACTAATTTGCACCCAGGTCTTAATTTATATTGGTGACTGAGTGATAGTACAGAGAGGTCAGTGCCATTGAAAGAAAAGTTTCATGTTACTCGCAATTCCCCTGGAAATTCCCTCTGGAAATTGCGAGTAACATTAAACTCAGCACACCGTGCAGGGACACAGCGGGAAGCACCAGTGCTGACCAGGAGGCAGAAAGGAGCGTGGTAAATGGACAGGCCACACTCTTTTTTGAAGTTTCAGCAGGAAAGACAAAGCAAGGTACGGTAACCAGTTTAGGATTAGCTGGGTGCAGCGGTTTACACCTGTAATCCCAACACTTTGGGAGGCTGAGGCAGGAGGGTTGCTTGAGCCCAGAAGTTCGAGACCAGCCTGAGTAACATAGCGAGACCCTGTCTTTACAAAAAAATTTTTAAATTAGCTGGACATGGGGGTGCACACCTGTAGTCCGAGCTACTCAGGAGGCTGAGGTGAGAGGATCGCTTGAGTCCGGGAGATTGAGGCTACAGTGAGTCACGATTGAGCCACTGCACTCTAGCCTGGGTGACAGTGAGAGCCTGTCTCAAAAAAAAAAGTTTAGAGTTGGCTGGGTTGAATAATTCCAGCGGGCTCTGGGGCAGAGGGGCTGTCCCTAGTTGGCTTGGTGTGTGAGTTAGATAAAAGAGTGGGTTCAAAGTGTGGCCTCTGGATTGTAGGAGACATATATTAGCAACTCTGTTAGTCTAGCCCTGTAATTAATGGATGGCAAATAGACAAATACAGAATATAAGAAAACACAGAACAGGAGCTCTTAAGTATCATCCTAGGTTATTTCACATCATTATTTTTATTTAAACTTTATTCTTTTTCTTGAGGGAGAAATGGATGCTCAGAGAAGTTAGTATGTGAATTATGTCCCAATAAAACTGTTAAAGAAAAAGCTTGGGGACTACTGATCAAGAGGTTTAGCCAGGGCTCTAAATAGAGGTAAATATTTGTAGGAAGCTTTGCAAGTCCCCCAGAGCTTACGTATATATTCAATTCACGAAGACTCATGTGTCAAAGAGAAGTTGCCAAGGGAAATTAGAAAATATTTGAACTGAACGAAATGAGACCTTCTTTTCTAATATGAGCATTTATTTAAGGCTACAGGCTTCCCTCTAAATGCTGCTTTGGCCGGGCACAGTGGCTCACGCCTGTAGTCTCAGCACTGTGGGAGGCCGAGGTGGGCAGATCACTTGAGTCCAGGGGTTTGAGACCAGCTTGGTCAACATGGCGAAGTCCCGTTTCTACTAAAACTACAAAATTTAACTGGGTGTGGTGGCACACACCTGTAATTCCAGCTACTCAGGAGGCTGAGGCATGAGACTCGCTTGAACCTAATGGTCATTTCTTGCTAATGTCACATTGACAGAGCATCATTCTCAGGCCCTGGTCTTGAAGAAACCTACACAAGAAGTCAAGAGGATATCAGAAGGGAGAGAATGTGAGAATATGTTTCCTAAAAAGGTGAGCACATGATTGGAAATTTAATAGTAAAGGTGATTCCAAAGGGGGTGAGAGATGTAAGAAAATGAGAAATAACATTTAATGAATATTTACTAAATGCCAGGTACTATGCCAAACCTTATGCAAACAGTGCATTTTCTTTTACTGTCACAGCCCTCTGAGATAGTTACTATTGTTATTCCCAGTTTATTAACGAGCAAAGTGATGCTGGGAGCAGGTACCCAATTTGTCACATACACAAAGCAAATAAGTGATATTAAAAGTAAAAAAAAATAATAAAACAAGGCCAGACGCAGTGGTTCATGCCTGTCATCCCAGCACTTTGGGAGGCTGACACAGGTGGATCACTTGAGGTCAGGAGTTTGAGACCAGCCTGGCCAACATGGTGAAACGCTGTCTCTACTAAAAAATACAAAAATTAGCTGGGCATTGTGGCATGCCTATAATCCCAGCTAATCGGTAGGCTGAGGCAGGAGAATCGCTTGAACCTGGGAGGCGGATATTGCAGTGAACCAAGATCGTGCCACTGCGTTCCAGCTTGGGCAACAGAGTAAGACTCTGTCTCAAAATAAATAAATAAATAAATAAAAAGCAAATAAGTGATAAAATCAAGATTTGCATGCAGATCTGCCTGTCTCTGAGCCTGAGCTCTCAACCACTGAGCCTTCCCTGCAGCGCAGTGCCTAGCACAGAAAAGTCACTAGCATCATTCTCTCCTCTTCCCTTTCCCCACAAACCTCAGTGGATGGTAGTTTATGTCAATGGAACTTCAGTCTTGTGTAGTGGGACCAGAACAGGGTGAGAGGTTTGGGAGCTTCCCCAGGCACCAGCTAGGAAGGGAGTCAGCCATAGAATTTGGGCCAAGTACCACGAGCAATGTAGATTTCTTGTTTTTTGTTTTTGTTTTTTTGAGACAGTCTCAGTCTGTCACCCAGGCTGGAGTGCAGTGGCACAATCTCAGCTCACTGCAGCCTCTGCCTCCCAGGTTCAAGTGATTCTCCTGCCTCAGCCTCCCAAGTAGCTGGGACTACAGGCATGTGGCACCACGCCTGGCTAATTTTTGTATTTTTAGTAGAGACGGGTATTTCACCATGTTGGCCAGGCTGGTCTCAAACTCCTGACCTTGTGATCCTCCCGCCTCGGCCTCTCAAAGAGCTGAGATGAGAGGCGTGAGCCACCTCGCCCGGCCTAAGCACTGATTAAGTTCCACTTTTGTGGTGATGAGGTCAGCACAACGCTAATATCTGTGGGGAAGAGAGGTTGTTGACACTGGAAGAAAATAAATTTAAGACATGATGACTGCTCCTCTCCCCCATCAGAAACCAGTAATTACTAAGGTTAGAACTAATTTGCACCCAGGTCTTAATTTATATTGGTGACTGAGTGATAGTACAGAGAGGTCAGTGCCATTGAAAGAAAAGTTTCATGTTACTCGCAATTCCCCTGGAAATTCCCTCTGGAAATTGCGAGTAACATTAAACTCAGCACACCGTGCAGGGACACAGCGGGAAGCACCAGTGCTGACCAGGAGGCAGAAAGGAGCGTGGTAAATGGACAGGCCACACTCTTTTTTGAAGTTTCAGCAGGAAAGACAAAGCAAGGTACGGTAACCAGTTTAGGATTAGCTGGGTGCAGCGGTTTACACCTGTAATCCCAACACTTTGGGAGGCTGAGGCAGGAGGGTTGCTTGAGCCCAGAAGTTCGAGACCAGCCTGAGTAACATAGCGAGACCCTGTCTTTACAAAAAAATTTTTAAATTAGCTGGACATGGGGGTGCACACCTGTAGTCCGAGCTACTCAGGAGGCTGAGGTGAGAGGATCGCTTGAGTCCGGGAGATTGAGGCTACAGTGAGTCACGATTGAGCCACTGCACTCTAGCCTGGGTGACAGTGAGAGCCTGTCTCAAAAAAAAAAGTTTAGAGTTGGCTGGGTTGAATAATTCCAGCGGGCTCTGGGGCAGAGGGGCTGTCCCTAGTTGGCTTGGTGTGTGAGTTAGATAAAAGAGTGGGTTCAAAGTGTGGCCTCTGGATTGTAGGAGACATATATTAGCAACTCTGTTAGTCTAGCCCTGTAATTAATGGATGGCAAATAGACAAATACAGAATATAAGAAAACACAGAACAGGAGCTCTTAAGTATCATCCTAGGTTATTTCACATCATTATTTTTATTTAAACTTTATTCTTTTTCTTGAGGGAGAAATGGATGCTCAGAGAAGTTAGTATGTGAATTATGTCCCAATAAAACTGTTAAAGAAAAAGCTTGGGGACTACTGATCAAGAGGTTTAGCCAGGGCTCTAAATAGAGGTAAATATTTGTAGGAAGCTTTGCAAGTCCCCCAGAGCTTACGTATATATTCAATTCACGAAGACTCATGTGTCAAAGAGAAGTTGCCAAGGGAAATTAGAAAATATTTGAACTGAACGAAATGAGACCTTCTTTTCTAATATGAGCATTTATTTAAGGCTACAGGCTTCCCTCTAAATGCTGCTTTGGCCGGGCACAGTGGCTCACGCCTGTAGTCTCAGCACTGTGGGAGGCCGAGGTGGGCAGATCACTTGAGTCCAGGGGTTTGAGACCAGCTTGGTCAACATGGCGAAGTCCCGTTTCTACTAAAACTACAAAATTTAACTGGGTGTGGTGGCACACACCTGTAATTCCAGCTACTCAGGAGGCTGAGGCATGAGACTCGCTGGAACCTAATGGTCATTTCTTGCTAATGTCACATTGACAGAGCATCATTCTCAGGCCCTGGTCTTGAAGAAACCTACACAAGAAGTCAAGAGGATATCAGAAGGGAGAGAATGTGAGAATATGTTTCCTAAAAAGGTGAGCACATGATTGGAAATTTAATAGTAAAGGTGATTCCAAAGGGGGTGAGAGATGTAAGAAAATGAGAAATAACATTTAATGAATATTTACTAAATGCCAGGTACTATGCCAAACCTTATGCAAACAGTGCATTTTCTTTTACTGTCACAGCCCTCTGAGATAGTTACTATTGTTATTCCCAGTTTATTAACGAGCAAAGTGATGCTGGGAGCAGGTACCCAATTTGTCACATACACAAAGCAAATAAGTGATATTAAAAGTAAAAAAAAATAATAAAACAAGGCCAGACGCAGTGGTTCATGCCTGTCATCCCAGCACTTTGGGAGGCTGACACAGGTGGATCACTTGAGGTCAGGAGTTTGAGACCAGCCTGGCCAACATGGTGAAACGCTGTCTCTACTAAAAAATACAAAAATTAGCTGGGCATTGTGGCATGCCTATAATCCCAGCTAATCGGTAGGCTGAGGCAGGAGAATCGCTTGAACCTGGGAGGCGGATATTGCAGTGAACCAAGATCGTGCCACTGCGTTCCAGCTTGGGCAACAGAGTAAGACTCTGTCTCAAAATAAATAAATAAATAAATAAAAAGCAAATAAGTGATAAAATCAAGATTTGCATGCAGATCTGCCTGTCTCTGAGCCTGAGCTCTCAACCACTGAGCCTTCCCTGCAGCGCAGTGCCTAGCACAGAAAAGTCACTAGCATCATTCTCTCCTCTTCCCTTTCCCCACAAACCTCAGTGGATGGTAGTTTATGTCAATGGAACTTCAGTCTTGTGTAGTGGGACCAGAACAGGGTGAGAGGTTTGGGAGCTTCCCCAGGCACCAGCTAGGAAGGGAGTCAGCCATAGAATTTGGGCCAAGTACCACGAGCAATGTAGATTTCTTGTTTTTTGTTTTTGTTTTTTTGAGACAGTCTCAGTCTGTCACCCAGGCTGGAGTGCAGTGGTGCCATCTCAGCTTACTGCAACCTCCGCCTCCTGGGTTCAAGTGATTCCCGTGTCTCAGCCTCCCTAGTAGCTGGGACTACAGGCGTACAGGACTACCACCACACCTGGCTAATTTTTGTATTTTTGATAGAGACGGGGTTTCACCGTGTTGGTCAGGCTGGTCTCGAACTCGCGACCTCAGGTGATCCACCCCTTTCAGCCTCCCAAAGTGCTGGGATTACAGGCATGAGCCACCACCCCCAGGCTAATCTTTTGACTTTAATTGCGGTGTTTTATGTTAGAAGTTTTTAATTATTATAGTCATATTTAGTAGTCTCTTATGGCTTCTAGATTTCTTGCTAAGCATTTTACCATTCTAAGATTATATAAAACATCTTCCCCAATTTTTTCCCAGTATTTTATATTATCACCTATTCTCAATAAAATATTTACTCACGTAACCCCTCAGTTATCACCAGGGGTCACTCTATTCCTTGGAATTTAGCTAAAGATTGGCTTAAGCATTTGTTATCTAATTTGTTTGAAGTCTATTACCCTCTCAAATATGTTTGTGAACTCTGGGGGCCTGATGTTTTCCTGGCACTAAGCTCCTTATCTGTCCTGCATACGCTATGTACATACTAACTGCATCAGCCCTAATGTGGAACTCACCTCTTCTGATTTTTACAAAAACCACTCACACAAGGCCTCTGTGTGCATGTATTTGTGTATATGGAAGAATGGAAGACTTTACTGAAGTTTAAAGAGATAAGGAGGGGGTGCCCATATCACAGGAATGCGAATAATTTTTTTTTTTTTTTTTTTGAGACAATCTTGTTGCATTGCCCATGCTGGAGTGCAGTGGTGCAATCTTGGCTCACTGCAGCTTTCACCTCCTGGGTTCAAGCTATTCTGCTGCCTCAGTCTCCCAAGTAGTTGGGATTACAGGCGTGTGCCACCATGCCCAACTAATTTTTGTATTTTTAGTAGAGATGGGGTTTAGCCATGTTGGTCAGGCTGGTCTCGAACTCCTAACCTCAAATGATTAGCCCACCTTGGCCTCCCAAAGGGATTACAGGCATGAGCCACCACTCCCAGCTCACAGTAATGCAAATAATTTTAAAATTAATATTAGTTGGTGGGGTGTGGTGGCTCACACCTGTAATCCAAACACTCTGGGAGGTCGAGGTAGGCAGATCACCTGAGGTCAGGAGTTCGAGACCAGCCTTGCCAACATGGCAA